GTATGTGTATATATATGTATGTGTATATATATATATATATATATATGTAATGTGTCTTGGAAGAAGATCTTTTTATATTGAGATAATTAGGTATTCTGTTAGCCTCTTGTGCTTGTATGTCCAGTTTCTTCCCTAAGTTTGTGAAGTTTGCTTCAATTATTTCTTCAAATAAGTTGTGTTTCTTTATCCCTTTATTGTCTTTCTGGGATACCCATTATTCCTATGTTGCCTTTTCTGGTGAAGTGGAATTGTTCTTATAGAGTTTCTTCATTTAAAAAAAAAAAATAGTTCTCACTTCTCTTCCACCTGAATTATTTCTAGATTTCTATCTTTGAGCTTGCTATTCTCTCTTCCATAGTGTATGCTCTATTTCCAGTGCTTTCTAGTGCATTCTCCATCACATCTAATGAGTACTTCAGTTCCAGAATTTCTGTTTGCTTCTTTATTAGAGTTCAGTATTTTTGGTAAAGTACGTTTCCTATTCATTAATTTTACTCCTGAATTAATTAAACTGTCTTCCTGAGTTTTTCTGTAGCTCCTTGACTTTCTTCACCAAGGTTATTTTGAATTATCTTTCAGCTAGACCTCAATGTTTCATTAATTCAGGTTTGGTCTCTGGAAAATTGTCAATTTCATTTTTGATACCATGTTACCATGATTTTTCATGATGCTTGAGGAGTTGTTCCTTTGTCAGCACATTTGATGTAGCAAAAATCTCTTAAGACTTCATTTACTGAACCTAACAGTTCAACACATTGGTAATTAGAAGCCTGTCTTTTGTTTTCTAGTAGTTGGCGCAATAGCACAAGTTTTTGGTTTCTCTTGAGTTGCCCCTTTTAGAGCCAGCATTTCCACCCTCAGCTGCCTCTGCCAGGGGTTCCTGCTTGTGCTTCCGAGGCTGCTGGTGTCCCGCTACTGCTGGTGTCCCTGTGGTCATGGGCACCGCCATGGAGTCAGATGGCAGGTGCCCCTCCAGTGTCCAGGGTCATGGCCACCTTCGTTGTGGTGGGGAAGAGGGGGAGAGACACAAGTGCAGCTGAGAGGACATGGGTTGTGGGGCCTGCCACCACTGCTGCCCAGTTCCTCGTGGCTTTTGATACCACTACAGCCTGGAAAGTAGAGTTACATGCACTCCAATCTCAGCCTGCTGTTACATTGTTCTCTCCCTCTGTGTTGCTGTCTTTACAGGGTTGTCTGCCCTCTGTGTTTCTTTCTCTTCTTCTTATAACAGCACAGTCATATTGGATTAAGCTTTCACCCTACTTTGATGTGATCTCGTCTTAACTAATTACACTTGTAATGACCCTATCTTATCTAATAACGAGGGAATATGCACATTGACCATTGTGCTGTAACGGTCAAGATGGCTGTGCCTACAGTGGAAGCTGAGTTCCGGTAATCAGCCTTAACGAGCAATCAGTAGGGACCTGAGGCTGTGCCCCCTGTCTGGTGGGGCTTAACAGGGGGACCTCAGGCCATGCCCCTTGCCCCAGCACCAGGTCGGAGGACCTCAGGCTGTGCCCCCTGCCCCAGTGCTAGGCTGGGGGACCTCAGGCAGTGGCCCTCACCTGGCAGAGCTTGACAAGGGACATCAGGCTGCACCCCCTGCCCACAGGGCTTGACAGGGAACCTCAAGGCATAACCCCCGAACCAGCTCGGGCTGGGGGACCTGAGACTGCACCCCTGCCAGGTAAGACTTGACAGGGGACCTCAGTCTGTGCTCCTTGTCCTGGTGCCAGGCCAGGCAACTGAGGCTGTGCCCCACACCCGGTGGGGCTTGATGGAGGTGGAGCCAGCTGGGTCTGGATCTAGCCCAATGGGGTGGGTCTGGCTGGGTCTGGGTCTTGCACAATTTCAAGGCACACGTGGGTGTGCAGGGACTTGACTCTGGTTCTCATGGCGTGCCCCAGACTCTGACAGGAGGAAGCTTTTCATATACATTTTACTAATTTTCTTTCATCTCTGATGCTTGTATTATACAGAAAGGGCAAATAGCAATATTAAAATATTTCCTCTAATTAATCCCCTTTTAATGTGCATGAATTTCATGCACCAGGTCACTAGTTTCCAAATAAGGTCACATTCTGAGGTACTAGGGCTTAAAACTTCAACATATGATTTTTAACACACAAACATAACACTAGGTAAACCAAAAATTTGGCAAAACCAACAGTATTTTTGCTTATTTCAGAGTTTGATTGGCGGGCTAGAAGATTATATCTAAGTCAGTTTGAGATGCTATAACAAATATATCATACATAAGGTGGCTTAAAACAAACAAACAAAAATATGTCTCACAATTTTGGGTGCTGGGAAGTGCAAGATCAAGATGCCAGCTGATTTGGTCTGGTGGGTGCTCTCTTCCTGGTATGTTTCATGTGGTATGAAAGAGAAAAGAAGCAGCTCTCTTGTCTTTCTTTTTATAAGGGCAATATGAAGTATCTATACTAATGATCTATTACCCCTCCAAAGGTCCTACAACAAATACAATCACAGTGGGAATTAAAATTTCAAAATATGAATGTTGAGGATACAAACATTTAATTAATAGCAGACTACATTAAAATAATATTTTTCTTCAATAAAAGTTGAAAAGTCAAAAAGCAATGTGATGTTTTAATGTTTATCAAAGTGAACAAGGTTTAAACGTAGTATTTTATGCTTAAGACTATTTCAAACCAAGAAAAGTGATAACATTATTAATTTTTATTTCATTATTTTTTTAGCTTTCTAAAGCATACAACATTTTTTCAAGTAAAATTTGTTATTTTTGTGACATACAATATTGTAATATAACAGCTGTATTTATAACTGAAAATATTATACCAGAACATATAAAATATTTACGAATTTTGTATAATTTCTGAATTTTTTTATTGCAATGATAAATATCACATACAAATATGACCTAAACAAGTTAAACATTACTTTTATTTGAAAGATGTTTCCCATGAAATTTAATATATTAAATAGGCTTAAATAAATTACCTCAATATCAATTAACTCAATTTCAATAAAATCCAATCATACTTAACACATTTAGAGATGGTTTAATAAGACTAAAATGAATCTCAACTTTGAATACCTTAGTTAGTCTCAAACTTCTTTTTCTTCTATATTTGCAAAGTATCATTTTATCCTAATGCGACACTATAGAAATATTTAAAAAGTACTTTCACTCTCTCAAGTTTCCATAACCGTAAAATTTATTTTCCTGTTTGGTCTTTAATTCTAAGGCATCAATGTCACATTACTTCTATTTTGCATTTAATTTGTAAAATTCATTATACCAAACACAGTCATTACACTATTCAAATTTTATTTCAAGTTAAAAAAATGTTCTAAGCAGAAGTCAGGCCTGGTGTGGTGGTTAAGAAAATGATCTGAAGCCAGAATGCATGGGTTCAAATCCTTGCTTTACTATATCTTTGCTTTGTAATATTGGTCATAATATTAAACTTTCTACACCCCATTTTCTCATCAGTAAAAAGGTGATAATAATAATGTCTACCTGGGAGAGTTATCCTTAAGATTAAATGAGTTAATGTACTTAAAACATTACAAATTTTTTGGCAAGTTGAAAGTGTTGTGTAAGAATAAAATATTATCACTAATATATAGACTGTCTTTGAAATATGATTTTTAGGAAGCTTTCTCATCTATCTAATTTAGGATAGATGGAATGGGAACCTGGGAAAGGATTCTGTTTCTGATACTTACTAGCTATGTGAGCTTAGGCTAGCTCTAGAAATTCTGCAATCCATACTCAATTTCATGCCCTGCAAATTAGGACTAGTCTGTCGCACAAGGGTTGAAAAAAAAAATGGATAAAGGGCTAAGAGAAGTATTTGACAAATGACAAGCTTGCAATTCTAACTTCTCCCCTCTTTCTTCAAGTTCAACTTTGAGTGGTGAGAAAAAGAACTGGAAATATAAAAGGCTAGGAGACTAGGGAGCTGCTGCACTATCAATAGTAAAATGAGAAGAGAGCTAGATAGTCATTAGCAAGGAGAAATGAAAAGTGTAGAAAGTAGGATTCACATTCTTGGTAAATGATTAAATGGAGGCATGAGTGATGATATAAAGGCTTCTGCAAAATAAGTTCTTTAGGGTGATAACACTTCGCTATGCATATTTTTTTAAAAAAGCACTTTTTATATGTTTTCGTTGATTTCAAAGAGAAAACTTGAAAGAGAGAGAGAGAAACATCAATGATGAGAATCATCCATCAGCTGCCTCCTAGATGATCCCGACTGGGGATCAAGTCCTCAATCCAGGCATGTGCCCTGACCGAGTAGAACCATGACCTCCTGATCCATGGGTCAATGCTTAGCCACTGAGCACATAGTCCAGGCTGCTATGCATATTTCATCACACAAGTCATTAGTATCTGAAATATAGCATTTTCTTATCCTTCTAAATCTTCAAACCTGATACTTCTCTAATTTAAAATTTTCTTTATTTTTATTCCATTATTGCTCCTAAATTTGTTCCTACCAAGCAGTCATGGTTTTCTCTGCGACTTGAGAGAAGCATTCTAATATAGCTCTAAAAAAAGCATTTTCATCAGGGAAATGCTGTATCAGATTTTATTATACTGTGGGCTCTGTTATGCTTATGAGTTTGACTATGAGCAGTAAAATAACCCTCTGGCAATAATTTCAATATTTCCAGTTATTTGAAAATCAGTGTCAGCATTATTAATGATTTTGGAGAATATTTTATCCATGTTACTTTTACTTATGAGATAATAAACTAAGAAGTGATTTGAAAATCATAACATATATAAGTAGTAACAATTACTAGTATATTATCTAATATAACTAAAATCAATTAACAAAATGCATATCTAAATATAACGTGGCCTGACTTTTAATTCTATTTTAAAAATAAAAATTTACAAAATGTAAATAAACAAAAAATTCCAATCTTAAAATTAGTTAAATTCTATTAACAGACTTTGATTGGAAGCATAGCAATTTGTATCCAATGAATGATTTTTGTTTTAAACAAAAAATATTTATAATTTATTTATAAATAAAGAAATATTATGTTATTATTATTACTTCCTTGGCCTTGAAGATTTGTTGGAAATTTGGGCTCTTTTAAGACTTTACCTCCCACTTTAAGTAATTCAAAATACAGAAAGATAAGAATACAAAATACATAAGGATAAGAACATCTTGACAAAAACTTTATAGAATAGAATCTAAGATCTAAATAAAACAACAAAAAATGTTGATATAAATACAAGAAACATAGTGATAATGTTCAATGCAATCCATCAGTGAGATTTGAAATTCAATTTTTCTATAAGATGAAATGATAAGTTATACTAAATTAAAACAACTAGACCAGTTTTTCATTAAATGATTTCAGAGTCTATAATATAAAGAGAGCAGTTAAAAGTCACTGAAATCTCAATTTCAAGCTATCAGATGCTAAACCCATAATTTACAGTCCTAATTTGGTGACTAGCATAGTAGTTCTAAACAGAATCCAGCAGATGGCAGTAGGCTATTATAAAGTTAGCAGGAAGACTGAAAAATAAATTATACATTGCCAATATTACAATATTTGAATAAATTATGCTATCATTTCTAATGTAATACAGATACCACATCCCTAAATGCATTGTAGAATGTTCTGGTTTTGTGGTAGTAACTCAAATATTTCAGAGTATTACAAACACATAATACATTTCTCATATTAGATGGCAACAATTACTCTAAACTCCAATCTCAGTAAAATCCAGTCATAATTAACAAGATGGTTCAATATAAGTAAAACAATATTAACTTTAAGATCTCTAATTCATTCATCCCAAGTTCTATATACATAAAATAAAACAAGATATAAAAGTAACTCTAAAACACTATGCAAATATAAGATTATTTTCCTCACATAGATGTCAAAGACAAGAAGTTTTAAGATGAATATCTAGCCCTAGCTGGTTTGGCTCAGTGGATAGAACACCAATCTGCTGAGTGAAAGGTCCCAAGTTTGATTCGGGTCAAGGGCCCATGCCAGTTGTGGGCTCAATCCCCAGTGGGGGTCTTCAGGAGGCAGCAGATCAATGATGTTCTCTCATCAATGATGTTCTATCTCTCTCTCCCTCACCCTTCCTCTCTGAAATCAATAAAAATATACGAGTAATTTAAAAACAAGACAAATATCTATTCAAAAGCATCAAGTGCTTCAGTATCCTATCTAATAATAGACAAACATGGTAATTAACCATACCTCCGACACGCTTCCCATTGGCTAATCAGGGCAATATGCAAATTAACTGCCAACCAAGATGGCGGCCGGCAGCCAGGCCACTGAAGCAAACAGGAGGCTTGCTTGCTCCAGTGAAAGAGGAAGCCAAGGTTCCCCGCCTGCCACTGCCAGCCTCTGAGCTGCACTCCAAGAAACAATGTTGCAATTATAGAAGATGAACAAACCCCAGAAACCTGTTTACGGCCAGCCAGGCCTCAAAGTTGGAGCTGCAACAGTGTTTCAATTATAGAAGCCAAACAAACCCATATACCTGCTTTCAGCAGCCGAGGTCTCAGAGCTGGAGCTGGGCCTCAGAGCTAAAGCCAGCTCTCAGTTCCAGTGACAGCCATAGAAGGTAAATAAATCCCAGAATAAAAAGAA